TGGTTCCTTGATCATAGTCGCATTAGTACTAGGTAATTTTTGGTTAGAACTAAACACGCATACCATATAACATATGTTACTAGCCAAATATTCACCAAATCGATTATTATTATTTATTCCCCATGATATATCAAGTTAATAAAAGTTAATATAAGAGACGTATTCTGCATCTATTTTCAGTTTTGCATAGATATAGACCTCCGAAAACAAAGACCTAACCCTAAAATAACCTTCACCAGTTGTTATTGCATCTATTTTAATTATAGAATCGTGTATCTGAAACTTAAAGTCTTTGTGTAATTTCGTTTACAATTTAAGTCGCGTAGAAGAACACACAGAACATAATTATTACTGAGAAACTATAAAACTTTTTTTTTCGTCGTTGCAAATTAAGCTAAATTAAACTAAGCTAATAAGTGCTGAAAGATGGCAATAATGTAACTGCTCGAAGTGCAACGGGTTGATGGCATTTGATGACATTTTAAAATAAAATCGAGAGATATATCAAAAACTAGCAAAAGGGGAAGCATTTGTGTTTTAGTTTTAGAAGATTGAATGTCGATTTTTGACCGTGCCTCAGAGATATCGTATCATGAAGTCAAACAATATGGTCAATTCTTGCCTCCTATCTAGTCAAGGAGCTTTCGGATTTAGGATAACTTAATACATTTAAAATGGCCATGAGGAATTATTAAATTATTAATATGTCACATTCTAATCCGAAGGGAGCTGAGGAAACTTCAAAATAATCTACCATAAATTCCCCGCTATATATTAATTTTGTGATTTTTTGTTTAGTTTTTGTTTTTTTGTTTTTTAATTTTTGTAAAATTAAGTGTGGTTAATTTGGTAAAACACAACGCTTTCCCTGACATTAAGCACCGTTTTAAGAGGGCGTATAGCGGCGTCGCGATAAAAAAAATACCACCGGTTCGCGATAAAAAATTACGGTATTTATTTACAAAGAGCGAAACCTGTATTATTATATACCGAATAATTTATGGAATCCGACTATAATTATTCTGAATGATTTAGGGAAGCAAAGCCTTGACTGCTTCGAAAAATAGAAAAAGGAATAAAAGAACATAATACTAACAAAAATAATACGATATATAAAATAATAACTATTTCAAACAGAAGTGTTTTAAGTAGTTGGAAAAGTTTTTGTTTTTAGTATTTTATTATTTAAAAATTAAGTTTGGTTAACCTGGCGATTTTTTTTTCTGAAACTAAACACCATTTTAAAAGGGCGATAAAAAATATTGACTGCCAGTTCACGATGAAAAATTAGGGTATTTATTTACAAAGAGCGAAACCTGTATTATTATATACCGAATAATTTATAGTTTCTATGGAATCCGGCTATAACTATTCTGAATAAGGTATGAACTTTGGGAAATGTAATTCGATGGTGTGTATGCAAAGTGAATTGGCGAATTTTAACTTATTTAATTTAGGGAAGAAATGCTATGCCTTGACTGATTTTTCAAAGAAACTTCCATTTGACTGTTGGCTTCTTCAGCGCTTAACTGAAACTGTGCCTTTACTGATTTAGAGAGAGAGAGAGAGAGAGAGAGAGAGAGAGAGAGAGAGAGAGAGAGAGAGAGAGAGAGAGAGAGAGAGAGAGAGAGAGGAGAAAGATAATAATAATATCAAAAATTATACCACGTATAAAGTAATAACAATTTCAAATAAAGGTATTTTAAGTAATGCAAATCTTGTGGAGATATGATCTATCATCAGGAAATTATCAGTCTTTCCAACCGCAGTTTCTGATAGCAGGGAAAGTTGAATCTGACATTTGGTTGGCTGGTTTTCGAAAAATCACCACCGGAGACATTGCAAATTATTGAACTTCAGACGCGATATTTGAGATTTTGAAATTTGCTTACTTGCGCTCTAGGTAAGGAAACCCAACCCTTCTTCCTCGCGGTTTTCAAATACTAAATGCTTAACGATACATAGAGGGAAATGATATTATGACAAATACTCTTCTTTATTAGAAAAGATAAATGAAATTGTAGGACAAACAGAGAGAATGTGTCCCAAAGTTTCTATTAATGTAGCAAATCGGGGCGACGCCCTATCCTAGAAACTTCGGAGATTCGTGAATTAAATAAATTTCTTACCGAACTGACTTTGTTAACTATTAAAGCGCAAGATCAGTTAGAATACTACCTTACGGTTAATTCTAAATGCCCCTAATATTAGCGTCACCAAAAAAATCGAGTTATAACTATTTCCAAATTTACATGTTTTTGATTACAAGACTTAAGCGATCTTTTACGGGGCTCCTTAGTTTTCAAACGCTTAGACCTTGTAGGCCGCTAAAATCGTTATTATCGACCAAATTGCCACACCGTTTAGCAATAAAAAAATAACATGTAAATTGAGAGAACTTTATACTTAATGGCGATTTTATCGTCTTTTATTACAAGGCACCGTCTAAAATGGCAAAAGTGTATTAGACATAATCGTTTGAAGTGGAACACAGAATTTGATAAACTTAATCGGTAAGGTATTAAATACTTAATGAAATCTATTGTACACACAGATTTGAAACAAACTAAGAAACTAATAACTTAACAAATACGTTAGTAAGAAAATAATTGTTAACAAAAAGTCAAATCAATGTTTAGTGAATTACTGGCGAGTACTTATCTTGTATTTCTGCCATTTCATTTTACTTATCAGCAACATATTATGTCATACATTTCATTGACAACAGTAAAGAAATAAATAAGCAACAGAATTTAAACGGATACTTGCGTAAAACGATTTTAATGTAAACTGACTGATATTTTACATTACAGTTGGTGACCTACACATAAAATACGAAAAGTATGGTATACGTTTGCAAGTTTGCAATAAAACAGCACAAGCTTTCCATATTTTCAACACAGAAAACCTATCAACTTCGCATTGACTGTGTTACCGTTTTTAAATGTGTCCTACATCTGCGTAAAATGATTATAAAAAAAATCCTTTTGTTATTAGTCTATTCGTAATGAATTTGTTTACGGAATTCCGAGAATTTTTCTTCTTAATGATCAGGAAACCAATGATGCACTATAATTTGAAGTAAAAATTTAGTTATAATAAAATTTTAGATTTTGCAGTTGTTACAAGCTAATCTTAAAAAATAAATTGAAAATTCTTCAAATTAAATTTTTTCCATATTTTAAAGCTTATTCTTAATATAGTCTATATGGTCTATATAGAACCATTTATCCAGACCTAGGAGAAGTGATAAGTGATTTAGCGAATCAGGAAAGTTTATGTTCTCCCTTCTCCTTTTTTGCAAAGTGGAACGGATAAAAATAGTTTAAGCCGAAATTTGTTTTGTCTTGAAATCATTGTCGTGTTTTAGACAACAATATAGTAAGAAAAATATTTAATAAGTATGGATATCAATTACTTTTTCCACAAAAGCGAAACACCTATGCCTATCTCCTGTGGTTCTTGAGAAGACATTTTTTTTTCTTCGATTGTGCCTCAAACATATGGACTTTCACCGGATTCTATAAATAGTGAAAATTCCAGATTAATTTCAATAAGTATTTCCGTTTTTACTAAAACTGCTCATAATAAATGGACGTATCTCAATAACAGTGAGGAGATGGGCATGGAATCTGGAAAATATTGTGGCTAAGGTCTATTCCGAGGCATAATAAGATATAAGATGTGTTAAAAGAATATAGTTTTCATCAATATTTCATGTAAAAAAAGGATATTTCTTGCTCACTGTGTAAATATTGAACTTACTAACGGAGGAGTTTTCTGAAAGAAATATGTAATTTTTAATATGCATAATTAATTTTCCAAAATTATCATTCGCCAGAACGTTTGATACGATTTTCAATTCAAACAGAATTATTACAATTAGAACATGGTACGTTTGAAGGAGATTATTTTAACACATTTGTTCTAACCCTAGAATAGCGAAAATGCCTTAAGTGTGCGAATTTAACCTTGGTATACCAATACCCAAGTACACCAGTAGTATACGCCAACAAATTAGGACTGTTTATAATGTTATGTATCAAAATGATTCATAAGCTATCTGACACGCACTTACGATAAGGTATATGGAAATGAAAAATTTCAAAAAATTATTGCACACATGTTTTCCTTTCATTTTTATTTTATCTTTAGTTTTGGTTAGTTTTTCTTGAGGTTATAGTCTGGATAACAAATTATCTATCAAGTTTAATAACGTTTCTAAAAATCTCATACATAATAACTGATATTATCCATATTATTGTTTCAGGACCTAGTTATTGCACCCGTTGGTTTTCAAACATAGAATTTGAATCAGGGTCAAGTTATGATAAAGTTCTAGAGAAAGTGATCAATAAATGATACTTTACTTACTTGACTTTACAACAATAAATTACCTGTCATTCCTAAAGACCAAATAATTTCGCCAAGAATTGGCTTGGACCTGTAATTAAGCTAAAAATATGAGATATGTAAAGCATTTTATAAGTGAGGGTCTATGGTTGCGTTTTACTGTAGATGTAGCCTACATACATTAAATGTTTCTTACGTATTTGAGAAATTAAAATTAGGTTGCATTTTCACAAAATTCAAAAATAAACGTCATTCAAAAATGCTTTAAAATACATTGAGTTGCATTAAATAAAAAACATTTATCCTGTTACCACTTTTGGGACAACCTGTATAGTATGAAAGTAATTTTAAAGAGTTACCATAATAGAACTTTACACTTCCTTGAAGCAAAATTTGTGAAAATCTCGAATTTTGTCAACAATATCGCAATGCTGCAATAAATTCCTGTAACAAAGTCCAGTACATTTTCCAAATGAAAAATAAAATATTGACTCCTAAAATTTTTATTACAAAATAACCATATTTTTTACTTAGTTCGACACAGTAAAAAAAGCAGTATAACATGACTCTTCCGTTGCTCTATTTTGTATGACAAAATACAGTTCATCGGACAACAATCGTCTCAGACATTATGAACCACCGCTTACCCTGATGATATCGAACAAGAAATTGCCCGAACCGGCATTGTGACCATGGTCGTCGCCACCGCCCCAAGGAAGAAAACGTTTCAATCTATCTTGATCGTCAGCCTCGGCGGTTTCTTCACCAGGCTCGGGGGCAGATTCCGCGCCTTCTTGATCTTCCGCAGCTTCCGCTTCGGCTTCGGCTTCAGCTTCGCGAACCACTCGAACGTGACGTTTCGCTATCGCGTTCGAAGCTTCATCTTCGAGACCGGCTGACTGTAACAGAAGAAAAGGGAAAACCACATTAATCAAGACACGATTTCAAATCTTAATACGCTAAATTAGAAACGACTACAAACATTGTTTTTATAGCTGAAACGTATTTCTTTTAACCAGAAAGCTGGATTTAAAAACGACTACAGTATACAGTGAGTTTATCGATAAAAGCTACGTCGCACAATGGAACGTTTACGAAAACATTCATATTTTTATCGCTTTTTGGACATTTTCTGTTCACGTAAATTTTGACCGAAATTGTTTTTTCGCAATAATACTTGCACGCACTTTTGGAAAATTTCGGACATATTTAACTCACTTAAAGAACTACTTGCTTTCACAAATTCATCACCTAACAATAAAACTAAATACATTAGAACGGACTCTAAAAGGTGTGGTTTGAACACTTCTTGTTTTGTTCAAGAAAGCATTACTCAGCTCCACTTCAAATAATAATAATAATACATTTTCTTCTGTTGTATTCAATATACAATGTAATAAAATATTATAATTAAATTGCAGAAAAGGAGATGAAAGCAATTCAAAATTGTTCAAAATTAAACCCCTATCAAACGATACATAACAACTACTACTAACCATTAATTCGCTTGAGTAACACACAATCATTGTAGAATATTATGGAATATAATATAAACAAAAGAAAAAAAAACAAAAATAGTCTAGAAAATTTCGAACTCGAAATTTAGTTTTGGTTAGTTTTGAAAAGTAATAGCGATAAGACTTTTAAAGAAACAGGAATGGCATTGGAAACTTAAATATTGTAGGAAAAGTTTCTTTTTCTTTTCGTGGTGCAGAAATAAGACCCTTAAATCTAAACTGTGAACATCTGTCCTATACATCATTTTATTTGTCAAGTAAGGTGGACTGTTATTAAAAATAATGTTATGGAAACCATTTGGCATCCTGTAGTTCGTGCGAGGCTGGATCATATTTCCTTATACCATAAATAAATCGTAGACAGTTTTTTTGTACTCTCTCAATTCTCATTGTGTAGATTTTATCTAATCATGGATAATACAAAATGTCACAATAGTTAAAGAAACTTAACATTGAAAAAACTGCTACTTTTATTTTTTGAACTTTACACAATATATGGAGCTACCTTAAAGAGATATATACCGTTTGTAAATACTACCCAACTAGCTCTCTCAAACAAAAATCTGTGTTAATTCTTAGACCAACATTTTTGACACAATTTGTAAACTGTAAACGATCCGTATTAGTTCCAAAGAACATAATATATGATTTGGTTTTATTAATTCTTAACCCGTAATGTAATGTAATTTCAATTTCAATTCAAATTCATTGAATGAAATCTCGGTTGGCATTTTTAAATAACAAAAATAAGTCATTGTTCGTTTTAACATAATCCGTTATTAACAATCTTAAAAAAATATTGCACCGTCCCTTATTAATATTAACATATTCGGATAATATCTTACCAATCCTTTAATTTAGGAGCATTCGCAAATCTACTGATGTAATCATCAATCAAAAAAGCTGCTTTGCCTATTCCCTCAACACTTAATTATCCTAGTCACCTTTGTAACAGAACTTAGCAGATAAGTGTTACCTTAGCTTAACTTATTTGCCGACTTACTTACGTAATGTTAAAATTTGGGTCACATTAATTAATTTCGGAATTGTACATTAAAAGAATTTGTATGTTTTCTGTATCAGATTGAAAAATAATTGAAATTCTTGTTCAAGGTTGCAAAAAAATTAGCCAAATACGGAAATTACAAAAATGTAATAATAATTGTATTTTTTTCTGAAGAATAGACCAAGTTAGAAATTAAAAATATAAACTTAATCTACCCTATCCATCCCTAATTTTATACTAAATCGTTCCAATGTGCGGCACCTCTTATCACAAATTTACAATCTTGTTTACCGAAATTTTATATTTTATTGTCAGCTTTATCTGAAAACACATTTTAACATAAATATTACATTTCCCCGTCTATGAAGATGAAGATCAAATTATTTACCTGAAAATTTCTACGTACACAACAGCTCGGATATCCCAAGGAATTTAAACAAATATCCCATTTGTATTATATATCTTTCACAAGTATATAACAAAATTAACAAAGATAATCGCAAAATAATGAAACAACAAGAGTTTACCAAACAGCCGTCACCATCAACACAACACGTAACATAAAAAAAACAACTACACGTCAAACTACACTAAATTATGTTAAACAATTACTACAATGAATATAAGAAGTCGTAATGAATATTTTGATGGATATTTCAGGTATGCGGAGAAAAGTGGCAGGGTCCCTTTAAGTTCTTCTTCGGGATGATATCTCGGTCTTCAGTTATAACATGAAGAGTTGTAGATATTTCAATTAGTCACTTTTAAAACGGTTGTTTTTGTGAATGTGTCGTCTCCTAACAAGAAACAACACGTGAGTTTGTAATATATTTCGTTATATCATTTTAAGGCGGGTAGAGATGAACTTTTTGTTTTGAGATTAACGAAGTAATTGTAATTGCAGACATGTTTTTGATGTAGTTCAAGATTATTCCTCGCATATAAAAATTCCAGTAGGTATGTATTACGACGTCGATGCAGCCTGACCCACTTTTTACGAAAGTAAATTTCTTAGTTACCATTTACTTCCATTGCAGTCACTTTCGTTTCAAGTCTACGTCGTTTACTTAAAATTCAATTTTCCCGAAATATTATATATAGAAAGGTTATTTTTTCTAATGCCCGTTTACAACTGGAGCGATGTTTTGCATTTAGGATTAGCAAGATATTCTAACCAGGAAGTGAAGAAAACCTTAAACCAAAACTTTCAAACTTAAACCTCTCGCTCAGCATCAACATAATCCAAAATTAGTGCATCTAAGATTCATATTTAAAGAACTCTTTAAATCATATTGCCTTTTCCTCTATCATTTCTGATAGGTATATACATATTATGTTAGTTGGAAAATGAATTGACATCCCTTTTTTTGCAGGTATCCAGAGTCCATGGCACTTCCAGATGTAGCATCTTAGATATAGTAATGTTATTTTTTCTAATGCCCATTTACAACTGGAGCGATGTTTTGGCTTTAGGAGGAGCAGGAGATTCTAACGAGGAAATGAATAAAACCTTAAACCAAAAAGATAATTATTATCTTTAAAGAACTCTTTAAATCATATTGCCTTTTCCTCTATCATTTCTGATAGGTATATTCATATTATCTTAACTGTAAAAAGAATTAATATCCCCTTTTTCGCGGATATCCAGAGTTCATGATATCACAAAAGTTTTGTACTTCACTTTCCAATACTGCCTATTTTGGAACTTTAATTCGAATTCATTCAGAGCCGTGCGACTGTCCAAACACATTCACAAAATACACCGCCGCCATAGTTTCCAAGCGAATCATCATTCCCGATGAGCAGAAAACACATAAATGATCATACGGTGTAGAGAGTTACCGCAGCAGTAACGGGATTGATCGTTTCGGTGGAAGAAGAAACAGTACTCGAGGCATTATCTTCGTCATCGTAATCTTCGTCGTCATCTGGTGGGAAAGTTGGGAGAACAACATTTACTCTTTGTCCTCCGCCACTGCCGCTAGCACCGCTATTGCCGCTTCCGCCACCCAAACCTCCGCTCCTCAAAATGATTCTACCAAACACCCTGAATGCCGTACTGGTTACATTTTGGACGACATTATCCAGTACCTAAAATACACTGGTTCACTATCGTAGTACTTTGATTAATTCGCAATATTTTTTATTTGAAATTTATGAAAGAAAGTGATAATTACCTGCGATAGAGGCGGACAGAAAGCCCCGACCAATTTTACTAGACTGTTGACTCCTTGTAATAATCCAGGTAAATCAATGTTTGATAGTATATTGGTGAGTCCACCTCCTCCCGTCGAAGCACCACCTGACACCTGATTTTCGGGTTTTTAGATTAAATATGAGAATCGACGTCAATGAGTAAAATGCTCGAAGACCTTCAGATGTATAAATACAATGACTATTCTCTAACACTATAGTACATAATAATCTACTGTTCACTTGTCAACACTTTTGCGGGTTATGTCGATTAATATTAGTTTATCTATAAATTTTCCAAGCGCAATACAATCTTACCCGACATTGTTTTTAACGGGTGTTCTTTTTAAGGGTATACAACTTTGAAATTTAATTGACATGAAATTTACTTTATTCGAAAGAAAATCTTCTGGCATTTTAATTTAAATATGACTTGTCACATATTCCATGGCTTCCTCGGGCATAGTCTATTCTGGAGGTCAAATTTTCAATGACTTTTCCCAACATTTGTGGCCGTATATTCGGCGTAAACTATTTACTTCAAATATCCCCACATGAAATAGTCTAGCGGAGTTAAATCGCACGATCTTGGAGGCCAATTCACAGGTCCAAACGTCAAACTATGCGGTTACCAAACGTTCTCATCATAGTTGTTCAATCGATGAAAGAAAAAGTCAATAATGATGGCTCTGTAGCGATCACCATCGAAGATCCAAGATCGTTTTTAAAGAAGTACTGCCACTTATGCCACTAGCCCATAAAGTAGATCAAACAATCAGTTTTTCAAGATGTAACGGTGGCTCAACATATACTTGAGGATCATCGTCAATCCAAATACGTCACTTCTGTATACTGACATATCCGTTAAACCAAAAGTGAGCGTCTTCACTTTTTACAAAACTTCTGGATTCCTCCTGCGTTAAGTGAACTTCTTCGCTAAACCAAATTCGCTTATCAAAAAAAAGGGATCAACGGCAATCTTGTTTTGGTCACCGAATCTACGTCTTGCCAGGTAACCGTGTCGCTTCAATTCGTGGACGAGTTGGATTTTGTAAAAACGCAAACCAAAACCTTTCGACAAAATCTATCAAAAAGTGAAAGGCCACATATCCAATTCCTGTGCAAGATCGCTACGCTCTACAGCAACAACGACTTCTTCTGCACGCAATGTATTACATCCCTGTGGACACTTATTATCATTTAGAGCAAACGTAGTGAGAGAACGTTCCGTAGTTGGTCGAATTAATTGCTATAAGAACAGAACCAAGACTTTCAAAATTAATTTTGCACAATTTGGAAGCATTGATCAAGCCTCAGTCTGCTGTTGTTGTCAAACAACAACAGACTGACCAACCAAACTGAACAAAAATCAGTTGACAGCTGACAAAATGGCATCCAATTAAAAAGGCGTTGCTAACTTAAAGTTTTATACCTCTTAAAAAAGACCCTTTACATGTTCAAACAGATAGCCGGTGAAATCCGAATAGCATTCCATAACGGCAAATTTTTAATATTCTATATAAAACTAAAGTCTGCGAAAATTCCAATAAGTCGAGATAATCCGCAAAAGTTGGAAAGAATAAAACAGCGCATATATTTCAGGATCGACCACCGATTTTCAACAACAAAGCACTAAAATAAGTCTAATGAAATCTTTTCATCGACTTAGGATCGACATGTTAATAAATATGTAACTAATGCATAACGCTTATTGGCCACATTTTTCGAATATTGGGCGATCAAAATAGGAAAATTGTAATTTTACCTAGGATATGAACCGTACCATCTGGAGCTAGGAAAACTGTGTTGTAAATTCAGAAAAATAAAACAGGGAGTGACACATTTTATAGTAGACATAAAAAAAATTGCTAAATTATTATTATCATCTTCATTGCTTATTTATTATTAATTTTACCCTCTGAATCTAATTCAAATATTGAAAACCCATTAGATATTAATTCTGAATAACAAAAATTATTATTAATAACAAAAATGTCACAAAAATACCTTACATCGTGATTGAAATCTACATCCGACTAAGAAATGCCATCGGGTTACTCGAAATGTATTGTTCTTTGTTTCAACTTACTTATTTTTTAAAGGTTCTTATTACAGTTCTCTTTCTTCCATATGGATGCCATTTAAGTACATGAATATAATATACTAAACAAAAAGTGACAATATTTCAAATATGATTTTGACTTCATATTGCCACAATGATGTGTGTGTTGTATTTTCCATTGACTTTTTATCAAATTGAAAGCCGACGTATTATAAAGGTTAACCAAAAAACTTTGCTATTTCAGCTATTTAATTAGGAACGCCTGTTGACATTAATCATTTTAAACATCGTTTCTTACATAACGAACAGTATTGAACGTCTAGTTAGCTTCACTTTCACCTACTTTCTTTGACCTTCCGAAGCACCTTCAAGAATTACTTTGCAACGCGCCTCTTCGACGGGAAAGATTAGTTTAAGCAACGCGCTACTTTTACGATCTCTGTCTGTACCTCTTCTTCTCGTCCCTGTACATTTCCTTCATTAGTGATATTAATATGCAATACTGCGCGATTCGGCATGCGAAAACCATATCCCCAATGCCACCGCAAACGTCACATCCATACAAATGATTCGATAAACTTTACTAGACAATTATAATATATTATGTAATAGCTATGTCGTAGGCAAATAGCAACTTGGTAAATGAATAGAAATGGAAATGATTGAAGAGTAGACAATCTCATTATTTATCTCAGTTAGTTAGAATGAAAACAGAATTTGGCAAGTTCCTATATTTTTTGATCCTACAGAATTTTAACATACAAAACCTTATTTGGAATTGTTTTTCTATCTATTTTTCAAAAAGTATTACCTCACACCAATTTAAAAAATGCTGTATTTTTTAAAATAAAACATTAACTGACTAACCAAAAATGATCCATTTTATTTATATTCGTTGAATTAAATACTCGAGCTACCCAAAAATACATTTTTTTGTTATACCCCTGGTACACAAGCAAAATATGTTTCAAGGATACCATTTGGTTGATCGTTGTGGTCATCATATTATATTTTCATAAAATTTATCAAATTTAAATTTAGTCACAATTTGCCTACTAATAGTACACCGTGTGCCAAATAAAACGATCTGGAAACCCATAGGAGATACGAAAAAAAGTTTCCAACAAAAGTTTCTATTTTTGTCTATTTTTTTCGTTAAGGTGATCAACTGTAACTCTAACTTATTTCGTGATTTATCCACACGATCTTTTAAAGTGCCCCACAAAAGAAAGTCCATGGGTGTAAAATCATGACTTCGCGGCGGCCACGGTATGTCACCATTTCACCAATTATATTTTGGAATTAAAAATTAAAAAATTCTGTCCGTTTAAATAATAATATAATCTCGCACTACACTTTAACACTCCGATGGCACTTTTTTTTTCTTTAAAAACTTAATCTCTGTTGAATAATAGTGGCATTTTTTTTATTGTGCGTGCCAGACGTCCTAAAAATCACCTCATTTAGCCATAATTTTTTTTTTAAAATGTCCCTCTCAAAATGTTCGTCCATCATGACCATGCAGAAGTTTCGTCTGGGATCAAAATCATGGTGAAATAAAAATTAAATGGTAGAAATTTATAAGGTTTTATTTTATTGACTTTTAAAATACGTCGTAGGGCTCGCAAAGAATTTTCGGGAAATTCAGTAAAAGGGGTGTTATTTTAGCCCTGAAAAACTTACTTTGATACTCATTTAATACTAAGGATGCACTTTTACGATTGGTCCGGTAGCATTCATAAAATTTTAGCCGTTCCTGAGCAGAATATTGCGACCAACCATAAAACTGTAACTTCTTTAAAATAAAAATAAAATGCATACTAACAAAAAACTTGACAACTATGAACTTTTTAAATAGAAATATTAGAAACAAACAGAAATGTCAAAGCTTAATGCGTCAAAAAAAAAAGATTGTGATGTCATAGCCAACTACGTTTTTAAATATTTTAATATTTCTTTGTTGCTTTGATTTCAGATGATACGATCATTTTAAGAAGAACATTTTTACTAAACTTTAGGGACCGAATTATCGAACTGTTTTTAGTTAACTTTTTGTTTTATAGATTTATTTATTCAAATTTGTTACCTTGTTCAATTATTCATTATTTATTTATTTATATTGATTATTATTTATTTTTGTTATTGGATATTTTCAATCGAGATAATTAACTATTAAATGTTTCTTTAAATATGAATCCTGAAGTTTTATTAAATCTGTTAAATTGTGTAGTATAGAGTCGATTTTTTCCAAATTTCCACGTATTATATATTTTAAAGAAGTAGTATCCTGTCTCTGTTATTTAAAAAATTCCTAATATTGTCAACAAGTGACCTTATGTGATCAGCGTTAAATTCGAAAAGAATTTATACGGGTTTTATCTGGTGCTGATAGATGAAAAGATTTATTTATTCAAATTTGTTATATTGTTTAGTTAGCCTTTAAGCTTTAATTATTTATTTTCAATCAAGCTGGATAATTAACAATTTTCTACTCCCGTCTGTAAAATGCCTAATTTCCCAGCCACTTCGAACACTTTTTTCCAAGATATTTCCCAAGCCTGGTATTTTGACGTTTGTCAATTCTGACGGTCATGGAAAAATGTACCCAATAACTAACGGTAATGGACACCCTGTATTGTTGTGTTCTTTTATTCGAATTATAGTATTATTATTGTATTCTTTTACTCGTATATCTTGAAGTAGTATCATGTCTTTGCTATTTAAAAAATACTTAATATTGCGTGTGGGCTAATGTGGGCAGCTTTAAATTCAACAAGAATGTATACGTGTTATTTTAAACCTCGAATATCTCAAAAAGTAAGTAAAATTTAAATATATGATAATTTAAAAACTTCTATTAAATTTGAAAATCTTGAGATTTTGTTAATTTAATTCGCCAAAACGGCACCACCTATTTGAGACACCCTATATATGCTGAGGCGCATCTGTCACACTGAGTGAGTAGTGCATTATCTCCTTAGCCCGTGGTTAAATGTTCGTTGCAATACCTGAATCAGCAGTGTTACAACACAATTTTATATGGAGCAATCAAAATATGAAAAAAAAACACATAACCTCAATTTCTGCCCAAACTGCAAATGCAAAATTCAAATAGGAAAGTGACCTTTATTTTAACCACGGATTCCGAAAATGTCGGGGTATTCTATTTAAAATAACAAAGTTGATGTCGGGAGACACAACAAAATTATAATTTTTTAAATCTTCAGTAGAGTCCAAGAAATTCCTATGGGATCCCAGATCTTATAGTGGATCGTTTGATTTGGCACACGGTGTACATTCACCGAGAAACAATGTCACAACGTCAAAACAAGATCTGTGGCTAAAATCTGTAGAAAAAATTCGATCGCTCCCAAACCCGTGGCCAAAGTACCGAAAACGTCAGAAGTGGTTCGAGATCGTGAGTAACGAAACTCATATCTTAAAGTGACACTTTAAGCACGCTTAAACGGTGCACAGAAATTTTACAGTAGGGAGAAAAAATAAACTTATTAAAGGAAAACCAGTATACAGCGGCCGTCATTTGCGAATCTCAATAGGAAGGGTCTATAGGCCAAAAAAAATTGGGAAACGATTGTGTAATTTTTTCATGTTCTATACGAATTCCATATTTTTTCGAGATTGGGTTAAAATAACGATTTCTTTTTTTGCTCTTTTAAATATACTACGGTAGGTGGACCAACCACCTACCGTATTTGGCAAAACATGATGATGATCATGAATATATTTCCAAATAAAACAACACAGTTTTTATAACTCAGTTAACTCTAAGGTGGTCAGGTTCATCAGTTTCCACTTTCCAGGTAAAACGCAATTTTCGATTAGTTGTAAGCATAAAGGAATTCGATTTGCACGAGAAAAACCCAATCATTATCTAACCTACTTTCATTGCAGCTTTATGCATTAATTACGCCACACTCGCAATGCAACAAATGTTATAACAAATCATGTAGTCGTTCAATAAACGCATTTTCCCAGAAACGACGCAAAAGTAAACCATTGATATCGAAATACTTATTCTTGCGAACCGAACGAACAAGACCTTTATGAATAAAAACGTATGATCTTATTGTTTTCAATATACCCCGACATTTGTTAGATTGTGGTCAGAGGATTCGAATTGAGTCAATTGCATATCACTTAACATTATTATACCCTGATGTAAAATATCCGTAAGAAAAGGAAATCCTCAGTAAAAATAAATAAGAACTAAAAGTTCAGATTTTTGATCATTTGATAAAAACACGGTGTTGTCCAAACAATTGTCATGTCGAAATATATAATTTCGTGAAAATCTGAACATTTAGTTCTTATTTATTTTGATAAATGGATCAAGTAAAAGCCACCTCAATTCAAATCATCAGTACAAAATACATCTTACTTTTTTTTACTTACTTACTGTTGTAAGAAACTGAATTGATATTGTGTAACCACTGGAAACAGTTACGATGTAGGTTTACCCAATCAATAACTACACATTTTAGTTTGGATCATTTATTTTTAGAAATAAAAAGATGCTGCTTTCGCATTCATATGTTACTTTTAAGATGGAAGAAAATGTTGAATCTTATTTTAGGTAGCTCCTTTTATATTTTCTAATAGCTCCTCCTTACATACCTGTTTAAGTTTAATTTTCAAAATAACTATACAGAATGAGGACGAAAAGTTGTTAAATGAATGAATTAATTAAATTATAGGAACTTTCCAAAAATATATGTACAGACTGTTTGAGAGTGATTTCTTGATAAAAAATATGAAAAAAGTTTTTTCAAAGGGCTAAATTGAAAAAAAATGTTTCTGTTAATACGTATCTGAACAAATTTACATATTTGTTATTTGATGTATTAAAAGGGAAATTTAGCCCCAATAGACTAAAATTATCAAGTCCATTGGCGTCCATAACACAAAGTACGCTAGAAGAAATGTTGGAAATGTCACCATCTCAATTGACGAATTATTAAACTACCAACTCAAGGTAAAATTCTGGAAACACCGGATTTAAGTCAGGGAAATTAGATGGCCAGTGAATTTGCTCGCCTCTTATAATCTAATTTTCACCGTTATTCAAATGATTTGTAACTAAAATAAAGAGGTGCTTCTTGGTGCACATAGGAATATCTTATAAGAGAACGGGCAATTCTTGTTGAAGAAACGCTAAGTAGGATTCGCGGTTTGTTGTTAAAATTAAAAAAAAGGAATAATTACATTGTCGCCAACAATACCCAGTGTTACATGTAAATAAAATTGTTCATGGTGGCAACATTGTACCTAGACATGGGGATTTTCGTCATATATATATATTAGTGTTTTCGGAGCGCGAGCATTGAAGATGCCAAGTGAAATTTTGGCGAAACGTCTGGAGGATTCCAGTCGGATGCAGGATTCCAGTCGGAGTTCAACGAGCGAACGGATGATATCCCGGAATATAGTGTCATCACATTTTTCCATCCGTGAATCAATACGTGCGAATATATATATATATATATATATATATATATATATATATATATATATATATATATATATATATATATATATATATATATATATATATATATATATATATATATATATATATATATATATATATCGGGATATCATCCGTTCGCTTGTTGAACTCCGACTGGAATCCTGCAGACGTTTCGCCAAAATCTCACTTGGCATCTTCAATATACTTGATATATACTTGATAAGTTTAATCTATTAGGGCTAAAATAAAAAATAAATATGAAGTGAATATTTTTGTATTAATAAAAAAGTTTTTTTTCAGTTTCAGTGTCTTGAAAAACCTTTTTTACATTTTTTTAACAAGGATTCGTCCTCTAAAATATATTCATCAATTTGACCCTAAATATTTCTACTCTAATAAAAATGATAATGTAAAACTGAAAGACTAGATTTAGAAACTATTTACTAAGAATTCCAAATTTTCTAGCTTTTCATGAAATTTCTAATTTACCCCATAAGCATAGTGTGCGAAACAGACACGACTTTTTTACTGTTTATTGGGAAACAAATATAACAAGAGCGTACATACTACATATAAAAAATAACAATGCCTTTTGAACGGGGATTTTAAAATTATTGCAACATAGGATGCACAGAAGAAATAGTCAACACTAAGAATAACATTCGATACTAACAATTATTTTGACAATAATTATTCTGATATACGCCATGTTGTATATAAACAAATTCAGAAAAATATGATTCAAAGCAAACGAGCAAGCAGGTAAAAATCAAAGCGTTGTAACTCAGCTAAACAAGTTTCTGATTACAATGGATGCCTTATCGACATTATGCGATACAGCACTTTGCTTTTCTCTTGCTTATATGCTGCAGCCTTAGAGATTTTATTGGGAACGAATTGTGCAAGAAGCTAAAATATCTTCAATTTAATTGTAGCCACATTGTCATAACATATTAAGATTAAAAGGTTGTTGTTGTTGCTAATGAAATTTTTGTATCCAGATGAACACTATTAGCTAAAATCTGAGGCGTAAACTCACCTGGAGTCCAGTAGAAACTAAAGGCGCTGCGCAAGCTGTGGCCAGTAACACACTTAAAACACACGCGGAACTAACGAAACACTTCATATTGACTAGACTGGGTTAATAGTTCTGCAAAAGAAAAACAATCAATTAAAAATGGGAACCTTGAAATAACCCTTCGCCCATAGTCTTCCCTGCACCATGGAAGTCGATGTATGACCGTCAGATATATCCGAATGTTTTTTTAATTTAAGAAACATACATGCATCGGATGCATTAACATTTTCATTTTCATTTACATATCGATTAACGTTTCGGCTAATCCGATTTTAATGTCCGTACTTAATGAATTGCGACTAATTCGTATACCAGGTGAGCAACAACAATGCCAATTGATAATACTAAGGAAATGTTTGTTTAAGTTAAATGTCATTGTTTGATAATAAAAAATAACACTTTCGACAAAAAAATATCATTATTTTCTCATTGTTCTCGTTCAGACTCATAAAATCTAATACGATGAAAACTTTATAACATTCCATATACGTCGATGTCAATTAATTTATGTTTCTTAAGTTAAATCTAAAATCTTTTCATACATTTTACTATACTTTTAATTATATTTTTAAATTTTTATTTAATTTAATTTAATTTTTATTTATTTAACTTTTTTTTAAGGATTCGTAAATAGAGATCCAAGATCCAGAATCTTCTACGATTTACTTTTACCCCCGATTTCTAATATAAATAAAGATTGTAATTTCATCTTTAGAAACCTCCATGGAACTGATGTTTGCTCTGTATTTTAAAAGTTTTTCTGAACATAAAAACTTTAAAATGTTCCTGCGTAAATGAGTCATTTCCTTTTTAGGTAAGCAATATAAACCTGCAGAAATACGTCTACGTAATATAATATACATTCAATAAAATAATTGCCAAACTCCATGTAATTTTTCTTATAATCTAGATAACCTAATTACAATATACTGTGGAGGCAATTGATATAACCCAATACTGAGCTAAAATCTTAACATTACATAACTCAATAAGTTTGATAAACGCCACTTTAGTCACGAGGTGTCTGTGTTGATTGTTGTCAAAATACTCCTGTTTTTAATATTAAAATACTTGATGTTGTAAAAAATTTGTAAGTTATGAGTAACGCTTGACGTGAGTTGATTTTTCAATTTTTAAGCGAACGAATAAAGAAAAAGAACCCTTGTTTTTCTGGAATAACTTTTTTCCACACGATAATTCATTATATTCAGAAATTTGTATGGAATTTGGCTAGTTTCAGTTCTAATATTACTGGTTTCGGTTATTCCAAAGTTCGGAAAGTGAACATTTCTTGATGATTTCTTTTTATTCTTATATGATTGCAAAGGCTTTTAAAGGGCAAAAATTTAAATTTCTTTAATTACTAAGAATTTTTATTTACAATCTGACAGCGCAAAGGCGAATTAGGATTTTGTAAATTTTTGACGATAAACTTTTACATCCAAAGTTAATAGAAAACATATCATCATAATTAATTGAACTTGAGTTTATAAATTTTATTAAATGATGACACAAAGACGCACTTTTATGTGCAGTAATTGTGAAGTTCTATTTTGATCAATTTGGAGGTCATAAATAACCACCCTGTGCATTGTCAGAATAAAATAATTGTAATACTCTATAAAACAAATTTTTCCAATTTTAGACTATACAATTACAATGCAGGCTGTATTTATGAATATGCTTATATTTGCAAATTAACTCCAAAATTTACATTTTCTTCTCTAATTCGGTCCTGCATCTGCTAACTGCGGCACAATCCTTCTATAGTAAAAGGCCGTCCGCATTCAAATTTCCCAATACCCTAAGAGAAAGTATATCAAAATATTTTATTCATATAAAGACAATAACCTTCACTCTAAAAATGCAGGTCGCTATATTCAAAAACCACAGAAATTTCTCTGGTTGGTGGAAAAAAATACTGACATCTTTGCGAAATGAAAGCGTAGATAATCGGTGATGCATAGAAGACGGCGACAAAAATATGTTTCTATGAAATTCAACGTTCTAAAATGGGAATTAATTGCAATATCCTCCCAAAAAAAAAGTAATTAACCAATTCCGCTTGTGAAGTTTACAACTAAATCTAATTAAGAATTCCACTTAGGAAATTACGCGTTATTTTACTGCAATTCACAATGGTCGAGCGTATCAGAAATTGTAAAGATAAATGCTTAAAAGTCTGATAACCTTGTTGCGAAATAACCATGAAATTTGTATAATATTTTTGATTGCCTAAAAAATTGGCTAATTTCTGGGATACTAAGAACTCAGATGAGCATGCAATTGTAACTATTTAAAGTAATTCTACTATTAATTTAAACTATTTAGCCTATTAACTAAAAAAATATTAATATTGCTGCGAACCTCAATAAATCATTTAATCCAAACACAGAATTATTTAATTTCTTTAATTAAATTTGTTAATTAATATATAAAATTCATCGAATATCAATAAATGATTTAATTAAAAATTTAGATAAAAATTAAAATTACACCATCAATTTAATTTTTTAACTGAATTTGTTTTAATTTAATTTTTGTGTTTTATACGCAAATTGAATGTAATCCTAACCCACACATGTCATGATAAACGATCCCATAAACTCATCAGAATTATTATGAGAAATCCAGCAAGCAGTAGTAGGCAGTTCCGATAAAAATTAAACCCCTTAACGAAGTAAAGAATCAAAATTTGATTTAAATAGAAATAAATTCCATAGATGTTGGAAAAAAAACATTGCTTAAACTATGAAATAATAACGACACTAAACTAGACAGAACAAACGCACCCCATATTTTTCAAGTAATCGTCACGATATCATTTATTAAAATTTGTATTTTGAAATGGGTTTCTTAATGCTGCCGAAAAACTAAAAACGTCTTAGTAGCGTAGGTTGTCGTATACACTGCTGTAATTCTGGGGTGATGATACTAAACGTATACAAGAGGACATAAGACCTATGGTCCTGTCAGATCCTTCCCTTGCCTTAATTTCTAACACTGACACAAATTTTCACCACACTTGACAAATATCACCTAAAATTTTTGGCTTTGGACTGACAAAATGCAGCCTCTTCCTACTCCAACTCCAAAAATTTTGTCGTCAAACCTCTAAACAATTGCTGCTTGAACAAATAAAAAAGTGAACGTGAATTTAATGCGCAGCCGGCCAGAACAACCGTACGAAATAAAAACTGTCGAATGACTTCGACTAAAATTTCATAAATAGTCGCACAACGTGCGATGTGCTCGAAGTGGAGGTGAAAAGAAGTTTTCATTGAAACATTATTGGACCTAGACCCATTAAAAATATATGTAGTCTCGTATTATGACATTTAAGTTACATTATGATAATTGTTTAGGCAATTTTAATTGGATGAGCTTAACGAACTGTTTCTAGCCTTATTTTTAAATTTCAAGGATTTTTTAAAAAAATCTGGGCATGTTGACCAATTTACATATATTTTATTAGTCAAAAATGTTTATCATATTTCTTAGAACTAGAACAAAGAGGTCTCAAACATTTTCTAACACTCTAAAGGTTGTGTTTATTTCGAAGATTTTTTTTGAGGTTTTTTAAGCATAGTGTATCCTTAAATTCTGCAAATAATTCTGAGTAAACTATAAATAGTTTCTAAAGAATTAAGCTTTTTCTTTACGATCTACACAAAAACCTATAGCAAAAATTTCCCTGTTACCACAAAATCTCACTAAATGTCTTGTTAACGGCCATATGTTTATTAAGAGAATTTATTATACGCTCATTAATTACTTCCAACGTGATGCAGATTTTCTCGTAAATACCATCCTGACGCGCTTTTATTGTACAAAAATGTACAGCGTGTCCCAGATTATAAGGGACACAGGAGATTTTATGCCCGAAGGGAATTGAAAACTGTCAAATAGCAGATTCCTTTGGTTTTTTTCAATTTATCTTTATCACTTTTATAAATTTTATATGTACCGCATTTTTTTTTGCATTTTTATTTTTTGAGAAATTTCCACTTTCAAAATATATGCAAAAAACTGTTTGAGTGTTTTATTTCTCAATATGTTTTATTAGAAGGTTTAATGCCATTTTTTGTTATCTATTCTTATCCATATTGTGTTGCAAAATCTTAATGTCTTCCAGTAAAAGCAATTCTTATTTAATATATTATAAATTTTGATGCATATGCATATGCAGTTTTATTCAATATTTATTTTATTAAATAATAAATATTATAAAAATAATAAAACTATTTATAGAATAAAGCGCCAGGTTTTCAGCATTTATCTAATTTAACTAAAAATATATATATTTGCTTTCTATCATAACTGGTAGAAATCTGTAATATCTAATAAACTCTTAAAGTAACAGCTGTTTTAATTTGTTTCCTCAAAGTATCTGTATGACTGATCAAATTCAAAAATTTGGTATTTATTAACGAATATATATAACAGGTAGGTAGGAAAATATCTTCTTAAAGAATGGTTTCTTGTGTTTTGTAATGCAAAGCAAATATTCTTCCGTTGAACATGTTCAACCAATGCAAATTGCAAACTATATGAGACACGCTCTGATATCTACGTATTCAAAAAATAAAGCTCTAGCACGAGTTTTGGATTTTTTGTATTCTCCGATTGCTAAAAACAATTAAAAACGGACCATGGTGGAAAAAATTGAAACTGAATTGACAATATCAAGGAATCACAGATCATAACTGTAGTTTTACTATTCATGTAATGCTCATGTGGCTAAAGGGATTTTCAAATAGAACGAGCCTAGTTAAACAAATGTCAATATGATTAGCAAAATTCAATTTTAAATAAAAAAATAAATTCCAAATTTCTGGCAGATTGTTTTAAATTTATATTATTACTGTCTAATGACAGAGAGATTATCTCCTTGATTTCCACTACAAAATAGTTTTAGTTAGTTTAATGGAAAGTTGTTTATCTTTTCCCCATAATATTACGTCAAAGTTAAATGTGACTTTGTTGATAAATCTGGACAAGTTTTTTTTAAATATCTATGCAGACGTTGTTGCGATTTGTAGATTATATATAGATTTATATTTATTTCTACTATGCAACGTTCTGAAAGTTGTGTTTTTGTATGTTTTTTCAAATTTAGCTCCATATATTTTCTTAAGTATTTCAATGTTATTGCAAAGCGGACTTAACCGTCCAAGCGATAGACTATTAAACAAATTGCACAATGATTTATTTATTGACACACAGACAATTTTATTGGTCATTGTTGTCGGTATAACACAAAAATGCTCGGACAAAGGCCAGGCCAAAGTAAAAGGGTTTAATGCAGTATCGCATGTAGGTAGGTGGTTCACACAATCACTTTCAACGTCTACTACGATAATGTCTCTTGAAACAGTATTGACTCATTTTTGCGATTAATACCCGGTTTTGCGTAATTTAGGTCTTTCGAATAATTTAACGGGTAACATTTTAATTGCGAAGCAAATAATGCAACAATCTACTCTGCTTCGGCACTGGGTTACACGTAAAACAATTTTCGTGTGTCTTTAATGTTAACGTTGCAGCGCATATTATTAAAACGCACAACATAATATTAAATTAATATAAGTTATGCTAAATTAATGTAAGTTAATAATGAATTTTCTACCTAAAAAGACCCATCGCTGCGATACTAACGTATTCAGAACCATCTTCATTTGCTTTAAAATATGGAAGGCTAAGATGAAGAAGACAAATCGCTAAAATGGGTCATAAAGTCGTTCTGTAACTAAACTTTTTTAAATAGCCAGGAACTGAACCCCCTTGGAAATAAAGAAGACTATCTGTCAAGACACAGACAGGAATTTTGAAGAAAAAATCTCTAGTCTCTGAAGTATTACGAGAATATACAAAACAATAGACGAAAGTTAAATTTCTGACGATATGGGTGATTCCGTTGTAATTGTTACTTTTTCAGTTAACATTTCTAAGATTTTAAAACTTCTTTAAAAAATTTTATCCATATTATTCACCTATTTTACTGTAAAAATAAAAACCTGAAAGGAGTCTACTACAATTTCAAATAAATATCAAATTTCAAACTTCCGCGGCGCTGTGATAAAATAATTTTGAGTTCAAAAATCATAAACATTATTTCATCAACTCCATGTTTGTAAACAGTACTCAGATGACGTACTTTCCACAGACAAAAGTTATTGAACCGGAATAATAACTTAAAACATTAACCAAAATGTGGTTTAAATCATTGATTGCGACAAAATAAATAAGAATTTTATATATAAATTGTAGAAATGGAAATGATACGGTACTGACATTCAGCTTATATATTGTAGGCTCATTCTGAATGACAAATTATATTATATATAAATCCGATGAAATATGTTCTTGATCATCTAATTAATACAAAAAAATCTTTCTCATGTTTTCCATAATTTTTTATCATCATTGCAAGTTTTAGTATAGTTAGCCTATATTACATGAACTATGCTGTTTTTTCACAATTATTACCATTATTGAGAAATGGTAATATATTTCTTTCTATTTTTTTAGTTATCTTAATACAGAAATTAAGAATAAAGTTTCGCAAAAACGAAATTTTATATTTTGAAAGATATTATTAAATTATTTTAATTATAAATTTAAAATAATTAAATACTAATAAAATTAAAAAAAAAAAAACAAGGAAATGTTCACATCTGCTTGGAGCGGGATGATTAGGAACGCGTCCTAAAATATCACATCACTTCTAGCTAAGCATCCTCCATTGTGTCAAGAAATAAGCGTGGCAACAAAATTCGCGGTGATTTGGTGGAATCAAATGAGCCATTACATTTAATTTAATTAAACGGCTCATGAAAATTTGCCTAATTACGAATATCTATAACTTCGATGCTGATTTTCGAGTTAAAACTTCATTCTGTTTAAACGGTGTTTGTTATTGCGTAGTCCCAATTTTAAAATAAAAACAAAATTTGATAAAGTGGCCACGTTTCCATAGCAACGCAATTTATCGTTTAAACTCTGATACAACGCATAAACCAACCACCAACTGGCTAAAAATTTAATACCGGCAAAAAAAAATTACAGTTATAGCTGGTTAAAATTAAACAGCTTTTTGGGTGGCCAACTTGTTCTGCGTTCAGATTATAATCCAACTTGGGTTGTAACCGCAATGATGACGAATATTTTTGAAAAATATTTTTCGTCCCGAGCATGCATCGTTTGTGTGCTCACTAAATTTTCCTTACTTTTGGATATAATGGTAATTTATAGTAACGTTTATTATTTATGGTACAACATAAAATACAACAAGAAAAACACTAATTGCCGGTGTATTAGGTTATTGCGCAAGATAAGTTCTGTTCTACATACACGAGAGTACTTAACTAACAAACTAGTTGAACAAAATGTACAAAGAATAATTAATCAATCAATCAAGGATCTCATCAATAATTTTCTATAATTTTAAATAATGAATGAATGAATGAACAAGGAAAAATCATATAATAGAGAGATGAAAACTCAAAAACTGGAATTGCTACAGTAAGGAGAAGAAGATCACATTTTCTGACAGAAGTTTCTTTTTATTTCTTTTTAAATGTCAAAAGTAGTCAATTAGTTGGTGATTCAATATGATGAGAACGATTTTTAAAAAAATGCTATTGTTAACGGGCTTTTCCATAAATTTGAATGATACACCCAAATTTAATTTTGTGTTATTTTTTGCTGTCCTATAGTTAAAGGGCAAAATCGAGTAATGGATTTGAGTGTCACCTGCGGACAGATGATGCTGACAAAAAAGGCATTGAGGAAAGCAAGATGTGTAAATACCAAATGACAATGGGCACAATATACTTCCTTGTGGAACTCCAGTGGCTACGACAATTCAAAAGATTGCTATCCACTTTAACTTGCTCGATCCTATTACTTAAAAAGGATCGATTCTTGCCAAAACCCATATGAGGTAAAAAAACGATTACAACCGCATAATTTAAAAAATCAAAAGCTTTTAAGAAATCTACCAATACCAGAGTTGTACAGCTGTTGCCAATTCGAAAAACAGATTGCTTTTCCGGTAATAGAAAAAATTGATTAATACGCTTAAGAATTTGAGTGTCTATTTTTGGCATGGTGAGCAGTACACTCACAGACCTAAAATAACTGTAATCAGTACGATAACTTATTTTAGAATGGGATATAACAATGGCCTGCTTCCAGCATACAGGAAAATTG